ATTTCTTCTTCCAAATTAAACTCCACTATCTGCACTTTGCCCAGTATTTATTAACAGTTTAAGTGCAAAGTTTTTGCTGCAAACGTCGCAGATGTGAAACTTAAAATATTAATTACGAACTGCTACCAAACAAAAAACCACACCAGACATTATAATAAAAATTTTAACAATGGGAAAGGTACGATATGTGTGATTATTTATTTGCACTAGTACAATATAGAAGAGTATCAAGACGTATTTGTTTGAGAAAAACAGCTAACCATTAGAGATAATCTGTCACGGTTAATAGTCTACTTAGAATTCCAGTAGGTGCATGACTCTATTAGTTGAATTCAAACACTACTGAATGAAGTCACTTGTGTTTACGGAAGTTGTTTAATAATAGTCTAGAGTTGCAAGGTGTGTCCAACAATGCAGATTATGAAGCTAATGTGGGTGTGCTTAATACAACTGTCCAATTTAGCTTCAGAATGTTCCTTACCTTGTGAAATTGTAAATCCTCTTTAAAAACGGAAATATGTCCTTGGCACGAAGTCTAAAACTTTAAACACAAAGCTTTGTTTTTAAAATTAAGACTACCAATATGTTAAGGTTGTCAACTTGGCCACGGCTTGGTGTTTTTTTTTCATTCTGTCTCTATAGTTAGTATAGGCATATGTGAAGAATAATTTGATGATGTTACAGTGTAATTATAAAGCAATATTTAAATCAAATGTCGTTAAAGCATTATATCAGGAGCTTTTTTAACTCTAAATGCGTGTCACCAAAGTTACGTAAAAAATGCAGACCTGTTTTTATAGAAAGTAGTTGAAATTAAATTAGAAGACATTTTTCTTCTATACAGCAAACGATATTCAACTTCTTTTTCTCAGTTAAAACATAATTTGTTGTAGTCGTTTCGAGGTATTTATATTCGACACATTTTACATTTTTCTAAAATATTTTACGACAATATTAATACAAACTGATATTTATTAGTTTTTTATTTTTTAAATAAAGTAGCATTGGTTGCATATTTCCAACGCACAGATGAGTGTTTTTTAAAACTGCATATACTAACTTTCATATATTCAAAACTAAAAAAATATCTCTGTTTACTCACAATACAAGTTTTAATTTCACAATTTTGATACAAGTAAAATTAGGTTTCAACAGGTAGTCAAATTTTAAGTACTTAACTATTATTAGTGCTTTTAGTGTAAATGTTCCTTAATTTTTTATACTTACCGAACGTAAGCTAAGGAAGTATATATTATAATAGGGCCCGTCCAGCGAATGGCTACTTGCATGTTTTCTAGACATTTCATTACCTCTAAAATATGCAATAATGGATCTCCCGTTTCTGTCTGTCTCTCGTCTGTGTCGATATGCTAAACTGATTCTTCTCAAGTTTTATAGATATATATTTTGGGAATATAGTGTTTATCGTAAAACGCTAACATATCTAATCGTCCCCACCAACATTTTGATGATGGTACCACAAAGTTTTGTATGGTAAATGCTATTGATATTTTATTTATTAAATAACACACTCATGAACTTGTAGTTTATGAATCTGCCTTAATTTTTTAGGCTAGATATTCACATTTTCGCAAAAATATATTAAAATTTTGGGACATGTTACAATAATACAGGGTGTTATTGAAAGGTATGGACAACAAAATTGACAGTTATTCGCGAAATCTAAGAAGTTTGAAAAACTTATTTTGTGTTATCAAAATTATAAGGGTAAAATTAACCCTTATCCAACCTTTTTAGACGCTATTGAAGTATAAATAGGTAAAATTAATTTATTTTAGTAAATCGTAGCAACTGTAAGAATAAAACTTTTGTCAATTCTAAATGTTGGCATAGAAACGAAAGATGATCTTTTTATCAGAGGCGTACAACGAATTTGGACATAAATTTTAATAATTTTTATCTCTGAAAGGAGAACACTTTTACCTGAACTTTTTTTTACTTTTGGCACCCATACTTCGAGACCAATTGCCGATTTTATTTTGTACGTGCCTTTCAATAACACGCTGTATAAAAGCAACACAGTTTGGTTTTTTATAAAAAGAATTGATTGAGGGTTATTTCGACAGAACTTTCCTCTCCCCGAAAATACAATAAAACCAGATTTTTTGAAAAATCACAAAATTTGATTTTGCGACCAATTTTAGAAGACATAATCAGTGTTTCAGCGGTAGAGAACTCCTAAATTTTGATTAACGATTTACCATGTTTCTGATAACCTTAAAAGTCTGCAATGTTACAGAGCATTCGATTTTGTTATAGCATTGTAAACTGTGATGTAATTTTGATATTTTTTGAAATGTGGATGTCTAGGGTAAAAACTCAACACAGACTCATAAACTACAAGTAGAGGAGTATGTTATTTTATAAAGTCGTTTTTGAGCATGATAAGACAAATTTTGTTTAACCTTTTACCAGCTACACGATATTCCTATTGTAGTTTAGAAGATTATCTGTCTAACAAAAATCGACACAGACACAGACGGATAACAGAAAACTGACGGCAAACAAACAGACTAAAACGAGAAATATAAGTTTTAGTATTCTAGGGGACGAAACATAAAAGTAGCAAGTCGTTCAATGGACTGGATTACAATAGTTCCTTAGCTTACACTCGGGAAGTAAAAAAGTATATTGTATGCATAACATAGCCTTGACCTGACCTGACCTAACGTGACGTAACGTGACGTGACGTGACCTGACCTGACCTGACCTGACTTAATCTGATCTGACCTGACCTTTTTTTTTTCAATGGAAGGGGAAACCCTGATGGGCACCAGGGACTTAAGTTCGATCATCCCTGGTAGTGCCTGGACTCTTACCGGCTAAAACCCCTTCCTCGACCAGCTGTTCTTCTACCCCCTCGAAACCGCGTTAGCATTACTTCAAGGGGGTGGTTGGTCGTTTCTTTCTTCTTCGTTGTGACTTCTTCATCTTATTTTTTTCTTAGCTTTCCTATTTACCCTGTCTTTCTGTCTTCATTAATTGTTGCCTATCCTCTTTTTTTGTATTCCTTGTCTTCCTTATCATTCCCAATTATTTTCATCCTCTTTCTTGTCACACTTCTCTTTTCTTTGTAATTTGTTTCTTTTTGTCTGGCCCCTTTTTTTTTCTTTCCCTTTTTTCCATTCACTCACCTCTCACCTCCTCTCTCCTTTCTCTCTTTCTCTCATAGTCACATTTCTCTTTCATTATCGTAATTAACATCCTTTCTATTGCTATCGATCCCTCTTCATTATTCTCTAACATCTTGTCAATCATATTATCAGCATCCACCCTCATGCCAAGTTCCATTTCACATTCTTCTCTCACCCTCGCCCATCTGTCACAATCAAAAATCGCATGCTCTACATCTTCTTCCACTCCTTCCTCGCAATACCAACAAGCTGAACATTCAGTCTTGCCTATCCTTTTCAGATAGGCCCCAAAACTCCTGTGACCAATGGGCACTTGGGAGGTGTAGTGGTTAACCTCCCCGTGCCCCCTGCCGACCCATTCAGCGAGGTTCGGGATTAGCCGCCTTGTCCAGGCGGCCTTCTCCGTCTGCCTCCACCTTTCACACCACGCTTGCATCAAATCCTTTCTCGCCTTCCCCTTACATGCTACTGAGGGAGCCGAACTCGACTCCCTCACCCTTTCATTTTTGCCTCCCCGGACACCGTGCGGTACGCACAACATACTCGCAGAAGCATGTTTCTCTGGAAACCCAGAAGCATCTGTCGATACTTCTGTATGAGGTATCCATCGATCCACACCTCCGCCCCATACAAGATCCCATGGACGACACTGCCTAACGCTCTTCTTTTGCTCGCCCTGGGTCCACCTACATTGGGTAGCAGTCGGCCCAGGGCACCCACAACCATCTTGGCCTTCAGTACCACCCGTTCCACTTGCTCAGCCACCCTGAGGTTTCGTTGAAATTCCACCCCAAGGTACCTCACCGCTTCCCGGGTCTCGATCATTCTACCTTCCATACACACACTCATTTCACGTATCGTTCTCCTCCCTACCAAGAGCACCGGTTCGCTTTTATCGGGTGCAATTGAGAGACCGTTGTCCCCCATCCATGCACCCACGAGCCGCAATGCTTCTTCAGTCCGTTCTCTCAGGTCCTCTTTACTCTTGCCTATCACAATCACCGCCAGATCATCCGCGTACCCGACCATTCTTAAAACCTCGTCATCAAATATGTTCCACAGGAGCGGCCCCAGGACCGACCCCTGCGGAACTCCGGCAGTCATTTCAAATTCACCCATCACACCATCTGACCTGACCTAAGTTGACCTGATCTAACCTGATCTTACTTCGGTGAAAGCGGAAACCCTCATGGGCACCAGAGACTTAGATTCGACCGTCCCTAGTAGTGCCAGTAGTTTTACGGGCTAAAACCCCTTCCCCGAACAGCGTTAGCAGTAATTCAGGGGGGTGGTCGGTCGTCACTTTCTTCTTCTTTCTCTATCCTATTCTTCTACTCTTTTTCCTCCTTCACTTCCTTACTTTTCTTGTTTCTATCCTTTTTTGGTCCATTCATCCATCATTCCTTTTTTTTCTCGTACCTGTATCGTTTTTTTTTCTCCTTGATTTGCTTGTGATCTCTCCCTTCTTATTCTCATTCACTCACTCACCCTTCTACTTCTTCCCTTTTTCTCTCTCTCTCTTTCTCGTACTCCCATTTTCTTTTCATTATGGTCACTAGCATCCTTTCTATTGCCATCCATCCCTCTTCATTCTTTCTTTTCATATTATCTACTTTCACTCTTTTACCCACTTCCATTTTACATTCTTCTCTCACGCCCCCCCCCCCCCATCTGTCACCTCCAAAAATCGCGTGTTCCACGTTTTTTACCATCCCTTCCTTGCAGTGTCAGCAAACTGCACAGTCAATCTTGCCTATCCTTTTGAAATAGGCCCCAAAACTCCCATGTTCAGTGAGCACCTAGCAGGTGTAGTAGTTTACCTCCTCGTGTCCCCTGCTGATCTATTCAGCTAAGTTCGGAATTAGCCGCCTTGCCTAGGCGGCTTTCCGCGTCTGCCTCCCTCTCATTCTTCCTTCTCTTCCTTTCACAGAGACGTTCTTCCGCCAGCAGATCCAGCGGAGGGACCCCAGCAAGCACGCATAGTGCCTCCCCGGACACCCTACGATACGCATAACATACCCGCAGAACCATGGTTCTCTGGATACCTAGAAGCATCTGCCGATACTTCTGTTTGCGGTATCCATCAATCCATGCCTCTGCTCCATACAACAAAATCCCATGGACAACGCTACATAGTACTCTCCTTTTACTCGCCCTGGGTCCACCTAGAGTGGGTAGCAGTCGGCCCGGGGACCCACAACCATTTTCCATCCCAAGGTAACCCACCGCTTCCTGGCTCTCAATTGCTCTACCTTCTGTACGTACACTCATCTCTCGTATCGTCCTTCTTTCTACCAACAGCATCGCTTCACTCTTATCGGGTGCAACTGAGAGACCATTGGCCTCCATCCATGAGCCGCAGTGCCTCGTTGGTCCTTTCTCTCAAGTCCTCCTCATTCTTTCCTATCACTATCCGCCAGATCTTCCGCGTACCGGATGAGCTTCAACCCATCAGATACCTCCATTCTTAATACCTCATCATAGAAGATGTTCCATAATAGCGGCCCCAGGACCAACCATCTCCATTTGAACCACTCTATCCCTCAGGTAGGACCGCCCAACATTCACGAGGTTCGATTCCACCCCCATCCTAACCAAACGTTCCAGAATCCCCGTCCATAATACCGTATTGAACTAATTCCGGACGTCCTCAGTCACCATCACACAACACAGCCGGGTACCGCATGTACCCATATTCGCTCTTCTAGCGCATTCACATGCGTCCATCATGGCGTCGATCGTCGATCGACCGGCCCTAAATCCATACTGTGTCTCCGCTGAGTCCCTGAGCCTCCGACGTCTTTTCTCAGTCTATCGGTCAACATTCCCTCATACAGCTTGATCATCCCATTCAGCAGGCAGATGGGCCTATATTTCTCTTTCTTTCCCTCCTTTCTTTCTTTCTCGATCAACACCAGTCTTGCCAGCTTCCATTCCTTGGAGAATTGCCCTTTTTACAGGCACCTCCAGACATTGTTTATCCAATTCTTTGGCATAAAGCTTACATATTTCTGGTGGTATTCTGTCGGGACCTGGTGCCTTGCTCTTCTTCGCCTTCCCAGCTGCCTCCTACAGCTCGTCAAGAGTGAAGGCTCGCACCTGTCCGTCCACCACCAGATTCGTACACTGTGAAGGCCCATTCTCGGGATAGAGATACCTTTCATTCCTCCGGCCATCCATTTCGTTACATTCTTGTACTCTTCTTCTCACACATTCCTATCTACCTCCTCGCATAGACCTGAGTTGGCCTAACCTGTCTTGACCTGACCTGACCTCTCTATTGTTTTAAATGAACAAATTGTGTACATTTCTGTAAATAAATAAGAACCAAATAGTACATCCTTAAAACAGCTGAATTTTGTGACATCAAAATTAATAATTTCTTTTTTATCTAAAAAAAAATCAGACTGGGCTATTTTGACGAGAGTGTTTTGTCAGCAGCTATTTTGTCACTGAACTATTTTAGTACTGAAATATGTATTTAACTTTTTTAGATGTATGGTAATTTTGAAACAGCGAACATTTTTTCAAAAAGTTTGATTCTTTTAAATTAAAGCGTATACTAATATTTATATGCATTAGTTATTTATGGCTGTATATTTTAAATTGCTATAGATTTATGATTGTGTTCTGAAGGAAAGTAGAAAACCTCAAAAATAGCAAGAACATTTCTGGATAAGAATATTTTTCACAGAACTTGTCGTAACTGTTTCAGATCTGAACTAATGCAGAACATTTTTTTCTACATATAAAAATCTTAGCATATAACATAGAGAAAATATATGTTTTTTAATTTGCAACTAATATTTTTTTCCACTTGATTTAGACACCGAAATGACTGATGAAAAGGGTGATTCAACCCTTGTTTTAGTGTTCCTCACTATATTTTAAAAGAATTTACTCCACAATAAAATTTTAAAAAACTTGTATTACTGTCATATATACACAATTTTATCTCACTCATAGCCGTACAAATGAAATAAGGCATATTAGTGAAAATTCAGTATATTTCAATTGATACACCTAATCCTTGCGGCGTCCATAACTAAAAATTAGGGGAAATTATCTGGCTAAGAGCTTAGTGTTTTTTACAAAATTCATCATAACAAATTTAAAGTGCTATTTAAAAAAGTGGTAAAGAGCTTTGAGCTAATAACAATGAAGTTTACAAAATTTTATTATATCAAATTATTCTCAAGAATTATACTGCCGGAGCCGCATACAAGAATACTACAAACACGATAAAAAAAGAGAACTCGTCCCTACATATAGCAGCATCTGTTATGTTTAAACCAACAAGTGTCATAAACTTGTCTCCTGGCCAAAAAGTGACAGTTTTATTGGTAAAAATAAAATAAAAACTCTTATATTTTGTTTCCACCGTAATTAGTAGTTTGCTGGGAACTAACGTGACGTTAACAAACTTAATTCTTAGAATGTTTCTTGCAAACTCTTAAGCTTGATTATTCTAGCTTTAATTCCAAAAACAAGTCACATTTGTTTAGAGTTTCCTTGCATGTTTTATTGTACTGTAGTCTCTCAGTGCGCTTCGCCAATAGAAAAGGAATGCAGTAAGTGATTTTTTTTATAATTTGATGGTCTGTTTTATTCTCGCTTTATTAGTTTAACAGGCTTTTCTATCTTACTGTACCTGACACATTTCATTACATTCCATGACAATTTAATTATCTGTGATTGTGAATGTGCTGGAATTAGCTTTTGTATCAATCAGAAATAACTGTGATTTTTCATTATTTTGTACTGGAAAAGCTTCTGGTAAAAAATTATACAACAGTATTAATTCCTCTGTTCCATGCAAAAATACTAAATTAATAAAAAACCCCAAAGATATTTTTAATGCATTAATTAATTGCTTAATTTAAAGTTATTATTTGCTATCGTACATTAGGTTACTATTATTTATACCCAATTTATCCTGTAATAAAACTGAGTATCGCTTACATAAACAAAAATAAAATTCTTTCTTCAGCAATCAATCTTGTTCTGAAGGGAAATCAAAAATATAATTATTTCCATGGCACTGGTCAGTGCTTATGAAATAGAAGAAGTCCGAAAAGAACAGGTTAACACACAATTTAAAATATCTCTTTCAGTTCTTAACATCGTGTAGAACTGGCACAGAAGAAGGACCTCTGAACAGGTATGTTTGCTGAAACGCACTCGTCAGAGTCCGTTCTTGTACAGATTTTTTTCCACATTCTAAGCAAATCCCTTGTACAAGAGATAGGCGACAACGTCTTGCATTTGCAAATCGGTCGGGTTAGTGTGAATCCGGCCATAAATAGCGAACATTGGCTGTGGTATCTATTTATCAGTACAATCTGTAGGTTTACTATTAGTATGCCTCGGCAGACCGCGGTCCTCGGGAGAGATATACGGCCCAGATAACCTAAGAGAATAAATCCGTGGATTAAGCATCGTGGCGCATGAAGTCTGCCGGCTTAGTTCGATGTTCCTTCGCTAGAGTGAGCGCACCGCGACCCTTTTTTATTGAAACCTCGACACTGACACGAGTGAAAAATGAAAATCACTTCGAAATTTATCTCCTATTGCATTTGACTGCAGATAATTGTGAATAATGAGGAAGTGTGGGTTGTTGCGACGAGAAGTTCTCAAAGAACACAGCCGTGCTCCGAGGGCGCATGAATATGAATGTGTGCATGCAGAAGAACAACAACTAAACCGAGCATAAAATCAAGCGCTAACGGAAACGGCCACCAAGGGGACAGATGCACAAGCGTCGAGTTTTCGTCTGATGCAGCCTATTTATTCCACTCTTTATGCCGTAATGGTACTGTTAATTAGAAATTATTGCCTCAAGAAATTCCACTCCGGAAAATTTACTTTCGGCTGCCGTTGCAGTAATTTTCTTTTTAAGTGATGTATTTAATTTGAAAGTATCAAGCTCAATTCGCCACCCCTGCGCATGTGGCAACCTTTTTCCACTTAGGCACACCCCTTTAGAAAGAGTGACACTGACAAAGGGTCTTATTATACAGATTAACTGTGCAATGTCGGTGGCTGCAATACTTGATTTTACCCTCATAATGTACGAAAAAGCTCCGAAATTCTGTTCATGCTCGTTTATAACACTGTAAAATGGTAACATGAATATAATACACTTATGCTTTATACGGGCAATAATGAGAGGAGCGTAGTTCTAAAGGTCACTTGTTCTCTAATTACCTTATAAAGAATTAACAGACACTATTTTAGCGCTAGATCCATTTAATAGGACACGAAGTTTATAACTGAATTTAGAACAGGTGCTACGTATAAACCGATCACGATGTTTTTAAACGAAATTTAGCCTCGAATTTTTTTTTTTTCACTTTGGAAAAACTGATTCAATTACAAAACGGTTTGTCTGTCACCACGTGGGATTGATTTGCCACATTTATTGTTATTAGAAATCATATTATTAAGTTGCAACATTTCTGACTCCAATTATTAAAATTTCAATAAAAAGATGCTAACTGCAAATGAAAAAAGATGGTCCCCACCCCTAGGGTAAAGAGTTAATGATGAGAATAGTAATATTTTCTGTGACTTCCAAAGTTTTGAAATATGTGTTAATTAAAAAAATTTAGGTTAGTCGCGCCACTGCAGAGAAAATTGTCGTCACCAAACTTGAAAATTTGAAAACATTATCTTCTGGCAAGCGAAAATCCACTGACACTTTTTCCAGTTATGTATTTAGATAAGACCTGTAAGGACTAAATTGGCCAAACAATGGAAAAAATTAATACTTTACAACAGATACACTTTTGGATGATTCGCGAAAACATTTGGAATTTAAAGGGGCACGAACAATCTTGTACGAAATTCTCAAATCGATGGGTTACAAACATAAGAAGCTAAACGGTCGCAAAATTTTGTGCCAACAAAAATATGTTGCAACAAAAATTACATTTTTTTAGAAAACACCTCCAATTCCAAATTCTTGTGAGCATTAAAATTCGTGTACTTCGACAAAACTTGGATTAACCCAAATTGTCCTGTATCACGTCGTCGTTAGGTTCCCGAATCAGATTTAAAAAGTAATCCCAAGTAGTAATAAAACCTTGAGGATCACCGTGATATTGACCTTAACTTACCGGATAAAATATGTATCTGTAGTTTCACATTTAATATACATATCTGGACATTAAAGGCCTTTGTCAATAACAAACCTAACTGTTGCCGTGTCGTTTCATTTATACAGGGTTTCTATAAATGATTCTAGGGTCGAAGTAGGTCATGGAAACGTGCCGCCTCTCACTTTTGGATTTTACTAAATGCCCAAGGACTCACGACAAATACCTAAATGCTTCACATCTTATTAAAAA